TGGCCCTCCTCTGTACTCCCTCGAGCGCCAACAAATCGCCCTTATTTGTAGGCCTCCAAAACTGGATGCAATATTCCAACTGGGGTCTTATCAGCGCCGTATACAACGGAAGAATAACGCGAGATGTCCTACTTGCAACCGACCGACGAATGTGACCTAGAATCCTGTTGCATTTGGCCACCGTCGCTTGCGCGTGCGAGGAAAACTTGAGGTCCTCATCGATAGAAACTCCTAAATTTCTCTCTCCGTTTGCCTCATCCAATTTAACATCGCCGAACGTGTCGAGAGACCTACCGTTGTTTCGACCGACGTGCAGAACTTACTTTTATTATATATTTATATTTATTTTATTTTATTTATTATATTTATATTTATTATATATATTATCAATAATATAAATGAAGAAATCTCCATTTGCAATCATTTATAATTGTTCATATGGGTCATACATATTCATATTCATATGAGACGTTCTCATAAACTCAAAGCTTAGACAATAAATTTTACTCCCGTGCTTTATTTGGAAATTTCTGTTTTTTCCAATATAAGATCTTGAAGTAAAAGACCGGTCTTTTACTAAATTGAAGACACCAAACCTTCTCCATAATTTTACAAGGGCAATGAAGGAAATTCCAAACTAACCAAGATAACCAACTAACGACTACCAGTCGTAAACAGGGTATTTCGGCTGTGCTTTTTTTAATCAAGATTGATTTCCTTTCCACACTCATAGTATTTTCTTAGTGGCTTGCTGCAGGAGTGGATCCGGAACTGTACCTGCTCCGGAAAGTTCCATACCTATTCCTGAAAGGGGGGACGAATCTAAATCCGAATCGAACCTGGTTTGTGACAATGCCCGGGGATGACGCAGTCTATGGAGAATGTGCAAAGGGTATCGAATGACACGTGCACCGCACCTTGTGGGAAAGAAAGCCCTGTGTATACAGTACAGTAACATGGCTAGCAGCAGGAAGAGACTTCGTAAAGATGATAGTGACAATGAGACCTCATTGATGGAAAGTGAGGATGATTTCTGTGATAGTGGTTCAGATGAATAAGAATGCTTATACGTTTCTTCTGACTCTGATGATGTTGAAGAAAGTGCAGATGAGTTGGAAAACCAGGAAGAAGATATTACATCACATGGTGTGACACAGGCAGGTTGGACGAAAATGGGCACTGCAGAGAACAATTTTCGGAAATTTCCGTTCACTGTGACACAATCTGGTTTTCAAGAAGGAAAAGCGGTGCCGCAAAGTGTTTTGGAGTGTTTTCAGCTAATTTTCACTGATGAACTCCTCCAGGCTATTGTGTCAGAGACGAATCGTTTTGCTGCCGAAAAGCTGGCTGAAGTGCCGCTCAGACAGAATTCTATGTGGAAAAAATGGTACGACGTGACACTAACCGAAATGAAAGCTTTTCTTGGAGTGCTTTTGAATATGGGATTGAATCCAAAGCCAGAGATCAAAGACAATTTCTCCAAGGATTGGGTGGATTGTATGCCCTTCTTCAGCTCCGTCTTCACAAGAACAAGGTATCTACAGATCTTTTGGATGCTTCATGTAAACCCTCCATCAACCGAACTAACAACCAGCCACCGAGGACAAAAGGTCGAGAATGTGGTCTCATACTTGAATAATGTATTTTTGAAGCATTTCCTTCCTGGCAAAGACATAGCAATTGACGAATGCACCATTGGTTTCAAGGGCCGTGTTGCTTTCAAAACTTATATTCCACAGAAACCCACGAAATGGGGACTGCGTGTTTATGCACTAGCTGACTGTGAGACGGGATATTTGTGTTCTTTCGAGCCCTATTATGGAAGTCATACAACAGAGGAGCTGATCAGGCCTGACTTG